CAACAAACGACTTTTGGGGGAAACAAAAACATTCAGATCATGGCATTCTGTCCTTGCCCCAATTCATATCCTTCTTGCATGTAAAGAACATGTATTCTATCCTAAGAGCCCCAAAAGTCTTAACTCATCTCAGCATCAATTCAAAAGTCTAAAATCCAATGTCTCATCTAAATAGATATGGGTGAGCTGGCTAAGAAAAACTGCTCTCCAGCTTTGAACCTGTGAAAGCTATCAGAAAAAGGGAAACCTAAAGAAAAATTTCCTAAAGTGGCCCAAGATGGCTAAGGTTTGAACACAGGCTAATAAACACTAGGCCTTTAGGCTGGGCACAGTGGGCTCATGCCTGTAATCCTAGCACTTGGGAGGCTGAAGTGGGTAGATTGCCTGAGCTCACTGGTTTCAAATCAGCCTAAGCCAAAATGAGACCTTGTCTCTTAAAAACAGCCAGGCATTGTGGTGGGTGGCTATAGTCTGAACTACTAAGGAGGCTGAGGCAAGAGAATCACTTCAGCCCAAGAGTTGCTGTGAGCTATGATGCCATGGCACTCTACTGGCACTCTACCAAGGGCGTCAATGTGAAACTCTATCACAAAAAAACAAACAAAAACAACCAGGCCTATGAACTAACATCGAACTCTCACTTGCAAGGCTGGGGGCTGTCAAATACTTCACTGACTTAAACCAATTACAATTTTGTCTACCAGATGAAGCACAAAGGCTGGATAGAATCAATCATCCCTCTCCAGACCTTAGGATGCCTTCACGCTAGTTAACCTTTTGCCCTATACAACTTAAACACATATTTGCCTTGTCTTATGCATAAAGTCACTAAGCACCAATCAGAAACGTAAAATTTTGAAAGTGAAAGCTTCACTTTCCCCTTTCTGTCATTTTCTATGATCAGAAAGTAAAAATGCTGAGCCTCACTCAGCCCCATGCCAGACGTGTTCTCAGTTTGTGCTGAGTCTGCATCTCTGGGTTGCAATCTTCAAACTTGGCTCAGAGTAAAATTAACTTTGATTTCTTTAAGTCTATAATGCCTGGTCTGTTATGTGCTCCCAAAACACAATGGTGGCACAAGCAGAAGCTAGACATTCCCAATTCAAATAGGTAAAGAGAAAAAGTAACAGCTCTCAAGCAAGCTGAAACCCACAGGGCCTGATGCTCTGCCCTCCCAGCCTACTGTGTCAGATGTCCCACGTTCTAGGAGGGGCAGGAGTTGAACCCCATAGGCTGTGGGTGGCCCCCTACAAGGTGGCTCTCTGTAGCAGCCCCACCTCTGTGGCAGTTCTGTGACTCTTTTAGAGGTCCAAGGCTTCCTTGAGCTAGAACTGCTTAGATGACTCACCAGTCTAGGCCTGCTGCAGTGACCGAAACAAGGCTCTCTGCTGTGGCCCCATGCTTGTTGGAGCTCTTACACTTTGGGTCCATGATGGGAACAAAAGCCTAAATGATTTCTTAACTGCCCTGGGGTTGATGTCTTAGGCAACAGCCTCTAGCTTCAGTTTAGGTCTCCTAGTCAGAAGGTCCTTTGGCTACACCTTTTCTGTTCTCTCCTAAATAGCCACTTTCCTCTTTTTTAACATGGATACCTTAAGAATGTTCCAAATCCTTAAACTGTGCTTCCCTTTTGAGTAACAATTATATCTCTAAATCATTTCTCTCTTTTCACATTTTATAAACTGCAACTTTGCTTAGATGTTTCTGCAGCTAAATATCCAATTTCAGTGCTCAAAAATTGTACCTTCCACAGCACTAGGACATAAACACAATTCAGCCAAATTCTTTGCCAATGTAGAACAAGAGTGGCCTTTCCTCTGGTTTCCAACATGTTTCTTATTATCTGAGACCTGATAGGAATAGCCTTTACGGTCCATACTTTTACCATCTATCTGTTCACAACCTAAGATGCCTGAGACTTCATCTACAGATCTCCTCCCTTTTCTCTGAGCCTTCACCGGACTCCACCCTGTCAGGTTGGGCATGGTGGCTCATGCCTGAGCTCAGCAGTTTGAGACAAGCCTGAGCAGAATGAGACCCTGTCTCTACTAAAAACAGAACAACTAACCTGTTAGAGCAACTGTTCTATGAGCTATGTCCCCCTAAGTGTATGCAAGAGTGTCTTCAGTGTATATACTATATGTAGGAAAATTATTACACCACTGGGAACACACATCTGCACCAATATTAAATATTCCCACATCATTCTTCAAGTGTAGTACCAAAAGTACACTCCCAACAGCAACTCACTGGCACTCCCCCTTTCCAAACACCTTTGCCAACATTGGGGTGTTGTCAAATGCCTGAGACTCTGGAGATGCCCTGGGGCAACCATAGCATTATAACTTTTCTTTGATGAACATCGCTTCATGGCTTTATTGATGAATTGGTCTCAACTTGTATGAGATGCTCATTTATTTTCCTAGTCTATATTTATATTGCATTTTCTAGTTTTCTTTTTTTTCTTTTTTTTTCGGAGACAGAGTCTCACTTCATTGCCCTGGGTAGAAGTGCCATGGCATCATAGCTCACAGTAATATCAAATTCTTGAGTTTGAGCAATCCTCTTGCCTCAGTCTTCCAAGTAGTGGGACTATAGGCGCATATGACAACGCTCACCTTGTTTTTACATTTTTAGTAGAGACAGTGTCTTGCTCTTGTTCAGGGTAGTCTGGAACTCCTGAGCTCAAGCAATCCATCTGCCTTATTCTTCCAGAGCGCTATGAGTACAGGCATGAGTCACAGCGCCCCCAGCTGCATTTTCTGTTTTTTAAAAATTGGCTTGTAGTTTTACATAGTGAATATGGTTTTACGATAGTGCCAGAAAGATAACACTACTTCAATATTTTTGGAGACATAGTCTCACTCTGTTGAACCAGGATATAGTACCCTGCTGTTATAGCTCACAGCAACCTCAAACTCCTGGCCTCAAGTGATGCTCTTGCCTCAGCCTTCTGGGTAGCTGGGACTACAGGCACTATAGGGGCCCACCACAACACTCAGCTAGTTTTTCTATTTTTGGTAGAGATGGCATCTCACTTTTGTTCAGGCTGGTCTTGAACTCCTGAGCTCAAGCAATCCACCTGCCTCAGTCTCCCACAGTGTTAGGATTACAGCATGAGCCACTGCACCTAGCCACTATTTCAATTTTAAGCTTAAACAAAATCTATTATGTTTTAAACACCTATGATGGTATAAATAATAAGTAATATTGGTGGTATAGGATCAATATCAAGAAAGTGCTGAAATTAGTATGGTAACAACTTTTTTTTTTTGCAATTTTTGGCAGGGGCTGGTCTTGAACCCACTACCTCCAGCATATGGGTTCGGCACCCTATTCCTTTGAGCCACAGGCGCTGCCTCGTATTAACTTTTTTTTTAATGAGCAACTATACACCTTCATGTTTATTTATAGAGTTACATCCTAAAAGTGATTCAAATAATAAACAGTTTCAAACGGGATCTGTTTTCATATACTTCTGCCTGGCATAAGGCCTCTGAAATCAACAACACCTAGGATCTGATGTAGTGTGGTAATAATATTGATAAAAGAGCTCGGAAATTGGCTCTGCACCTATAGCTCAGTGGCTAGGATGCCAGCCACATACAACAGAGCTGGTGGGTTCAAATCCAGCCAGGCCAACTACAACCAAAAAATAGCCAGGTATTGTGGCGGGTGCCTGTAGTCCCAGTTACTTGAGAGGCTGAGGCAAGAGAATGGCTTAAGCCCAAGAGTCTGAGGTTGCTGTGAGCTGTGACAATACAGCACGAGGACGATAT